ATATGCAGATAGATTGTAAATATATAGAAGAAGGTATAACAAGCAACAACAAAATACATTTTAAGACCAAAATAATGTTACTGGAGACACAGAGAACATTTTATAATGATAAAAGGGTCAATTCATCAAAAAATATATACCAATTATAAACATATGCATCAAACAACAGAATCCCCAAAATATATAAAGCAAAAACTGCCAAAATTAAAGGGAAAAATGAAACCCTTAACAATAATTATCGGAGACTTCAATACTCTACTTTTAATAATAGACAAAATGCTGAGGCAGAAGGAAACAGGACAATTAAACCATACTGTGAAACAACTAGACCTACCAGACATCTATAGAAATTCCACCCCACAACAGCAAAATGCATGCTTGTTCTCGAATACATATGGAACATTGTCTAGGACACACCATATTTGAATCCATAAAAGAAGTTTTAATAAGTTTAAATGAATTTAAATAATACAAAGTATGTTTTTCTGAACAAAATTAAATGAAATTACAAATCAATAACAGAAGTAAGCTTGGGTAATTCACAAGTATATGGAAAATAAATAACATATTCCTAAATAACCAATGATTCAATGAAAAAATTATAAGGAAAATCAGAAAATACTTTGAGATGAATGATCACAAAAACAAATTATACCAAAACTTTGGAAATACAGTGAAATAAATGCTTAAAAGTAAATTTATAGCTATAAGCACCTAAAAATTATTTTTTTTAAGATTTCAAATCAATAACCTAACCTTCCATTTTAAGAAATTAGAAAAAAAATTTAAAAGCAGTAAAAGGAAGTAATAAAGATTAAAATAGAAATTAATTAAATACAGACAGAAAAACAATAAACAAAACCAATGAGACAAAACTTGTTTGAAAAAAAAATCAACAAAATTAACAAACCTTTAGCTAGACTGACCAAGAAAAAAAGATGACTCAAATGACTAAATTTAGAAATTCAAAAAGGAACACTACTGCTGGATTCCTTCCTTATACCATATTTAAAAATTTAACTCCTTTTGGATCATAGACATAAATGAAGTGCTAAAACCATAAAATTCTTAGAAGAAAATGTTGACATAATCTTCATGACCTCAATGAGGCAAAGGCTTCTTATACACAACCCCAAAAGCACAAGGGACCAAAGAGAAACAGATAGCTTGAACTTCATCAAATTAAAGTCTTCAAGGGATGGGGATGTATCTTAGGGGTAGAAGGCTCACTTAGCATGCACCAGGACCTGGGTTCAACACCCAGCATTTGAAGAAGAAGGAGGAGGAGGAGGAGGAGGAGAAACTTTAGTGCTTTAAAGGGCACTAATAAGAAAGCAAAGTGATAACCCATAGAATGGGAGAAAGTATCTGTAAATCATGTCTCTGAAAAGGGCTTTATATTTAGAATAAGGTTGTCACAAAGACACTAACTAGTGTTGGTAAGGATATGCAGGAATTGGAAACCTCAATGCATGCTGGTGAGGATTCAAAATGGGCAGCCACTTTGGAAACTATTTGCATAATTCTTCATAATGATAAATGTGAAGGTGCTATGTGACTGAGCAATTCCAATCTTAAGAACACACTCAATAAATTTCAGAACACATGTCCATCACAAATCTGACTTAAATCTGTCAGATCAACTCTACCAGCATTTTGATACCTACTATGTTCATAGTAGAGTTATTTATAATAGCCAAAACGTGAAACAATCCAAATGTCTACTAACTGATAAAAAGAAAAATGTGATAACTCCATAAAATAGAATTTTATGTGGTCATAAAAAGAAATGAAATACTGACACATGCCACAATACGGATGAACCTTATACACACTACTAACTGAAGGAAGCCAGACACAAAACACCATATATTGTTCGATTCCACTTATATGAAATGTTCAGGATGGGCAGATCCATAGAGACCAAAAACAGGGGTTGGAGGAAGGAGAGAATAGGGAACAACTGCTAGTGTGTACAGGGGTTTTTATTGTTGTTGTCATAGAATGAATATGATCTTGATTTAGGTAATGATGATGGTTACACAACTTTGTGAATATAAGAAAGCCTACTGAGTTATGCACTTTAAATGGATGGATTTTATGAAATGTGTATCTCAATAAAAATAAAAATGGAGAAACAAACATCTCTCTGTACATGTATTGCTGCATGCTGCGGTTTTATTTCTAAAGAACATATTCCCAAGTAAGAGATGGATATAAATATCAAAGAACTTTTCCCCCTAATTTTGTATATTGCCAGATTATTTTTCCAAAGTGGTACACTAATTCATACACAACTAAAATGCACTGAAAGTTTCATCTCTTTCAGAGTTCTGTCTCACTAATTTTTACCAAACTGATGGGTGAAAACAAGATCATTATTTAAGCTCCATTTCCCTCTTTAATTTTATCAATATGCAAACTTTCTTTTTATCAATATACAAATGAGATTTCTCCAATTTTGAATTGCCAAACTGTATCTTTTGCCTATTTTTCTATTAGGTTGTTTACCTTTTTCTTAACAATTTGAGAGCTTTGTGTATGTTAAATTTTTGTCAACCTTTAGCTGTCTTAGTATTAACAATTTTACCTTTTTGTTTATGGTATCTACATCCTTAAGATATTATATGCAGATACCATAAACATCCTTAACATGTCCATTTAGATTAGTAGGATATGATTTGAACTATTTGAAAAAGCAAGAAATAACCACATGACAGATTCGAGTCATGATACAATAATATTAAAAATTAAATCTATTTCTTGAAATTAGCACTTCTAAGCTTGATCTTGTCAAAATTCCAGAGCATTGTTTTTCACATTTTTTTTCTTTTTTGGTTTCAAGACCTCTTCAAACTCTTAAAATTGAGGATCCCTGGGATTTTTTTGTGTAGGTGGTTTATACCTATCCATTTTTAATGTATTTATTCGTTTCATTTAAAATATTTATTCATTCATTTACTTTAAAGAACAATAATGAATAGACTGCATACTAGCATCAATAAAATAGTGTATGAAAAAATAAGTATATTTTCTTAAAAAAACAAATTAGACAAATGGGCCACATTATTTTATATATTTACAAATCTCTTCACCTGCTGTCTTGATAGACAGTTCAATTCTCATTTCGGTATCACATTTAACCTATTTGTAATAAGTTGTTTTGCTTTAAGTATATGATGAAAACTCAAATTCAAACAGTCAGGTAAGTAAGAAAGGTTTAGGGGAGACATTTAACTGACTTTTCAGGTAATTGTGGATATTCTTTGATAACACATCAAAACTAGAAAAGTACCAGGTGTGGTGGCACATGACTACAAAACTCAGAGACTCGGGAAGCTAAGCCAGGAGGACCACAAATTTGAAGCCAACTTGGGCAATTTAGAGAGGCAACTTAATGAGACCCTGTCTCAAAATTAAAAATAAAGCTGAGTGTGGTGGCATACACCTATAATCCCAGAAGCTCAGGAGGCTGAGACAGGAGGATCACGAGTTCAAAGCCAGCCTCAGTAAAAGCCAGGTGCTAAGCAATTCAGTGAGATCCTGTCTCTAAATAAAATACAAAATAGAGCTGGGATGTAGCTTAGTGGTAAAGTGTCCCTGGGTTCAATCCCCAGTTTAAAAAAAAAAAAAACCTTGAAAAATGATAGTTGCTTAAAAGTACTCACAATGTGAAATCTGAAACAATATCAATGAACTTTTTTACTGTTACAAGAAAACATACTGGGCTGGGGATGTGGCTCAAGCGGTAATGCGCTTGCCTGGCATGCGCGGGGTGGGGGGGGGGCCGCTGGGTTCGATCCTTAGCACCACATAAAATAAAGATGTTGTATCCACCGAAAACTGAAAAATAAATATTAAAAAAAAAATATCTCTCTCTCTCTTTTCTCTCTCTCTCTTTAAAAAAAAAAGAAAGAAAGAAAACATACTGATCTAGCATTATACCTTGACATTAGGAAAACTCATTTGCTAAAGCAAAAGATTTTCTAAAATGGACATGTTTTATGAAACAAGCATTTTAAGAATAACATTTATTAATATCACCACTTATTTTAGCTGAAAAAGTCCTGATGTGTTAGGAATCCATCAAGATCACAATGATGGACACAAGTTTTCCAAAATTCTAATGTTTACTAGAAAACCCAGATTTTACCATTAGCAAGAAATACTATCAGTTCGTGTTTTCTCAAAGTGACAAACACACGTTTTTGATGTTTTTGGTGTTTTGTTTTGTTTTGTTTTGTGTGGTGCTGGGAATTGAAACCTGGGCCTCAAGCATGCCAGACACACACTCTACCACCAACATATATCCCCCCATAATTCATTCATTTTTAAGAAAAAGTCTACCAAATACCTCAATCAGAATAATCACATTTTTTCAGTGATTTTGCAATTAAAACTGGTGTTCTCTGGGTTGGGGGAGCAGGGAGCAGCTAATTCAGCTGCCAGTCCAAACAATGTGCCTGAGCTTTTGCTGAACGTAACCATTGTAGTATGCAGTGGAGGAGGTTGATGGGCACTCCCTGTTTTGTCACGGAAGCCATTCAAAAGGTATAGAACCAAGAGAAAGTTAGTGGTTCTCACTTCTTCACCAAGGCATTCTAAAGGAATACTAGGTCTTAAAAAAAAAAAAATGAATGTGTAAAAAACAAAATGACTAGTAGTTCAGGGCAGTTAGGTACCCCTGACTGTATGTATGACAAGAAACAAGCAGTTTGACTCACCATCAGTGCAAAGGGCAACACAGTCACTCCAGGACAAGCCATGAGATTCTGAAAGGCTATTCACCATTTTGAATATTTCACGACCCTGTGTTTGTCAATTACCCCGAACTCCCATTAAACACAGCTTCCTTTAAGGACATGTTCATTGGATTAGCTGAAACCAACAGAACAGTAAGACCAGCCTCCACTTATCAGCTAAAAGGACAATTTTGCAAACAAGCTATTAACTTAATCTTCATGTTCACAGCTACAGCTTTAATTCAAAGGTTACGATGTTGTTGGCGAGGGGCAGTGCCACCTCTTGGCTGACTCTTCATTACTAGTGCAAAGCCGGCTGGGCAAGGCTTCCCTAAGCTGTGTGATCACTTACCCAGCCCGTGCAATATGGTTACTTACTCTAAGATGCTGGTTGTTCTTTCATGTCGACTTTGAAAAGCTGTAACAAATAATTTTGGAGTTCTAAAGGAACTCATCATGTCTATGTTTAAAATACTCAATTGTTTTTTTCTTAAAACTCTGAATAATCGGTCCAAAAAAATGAAGTCACAACTTAATTACCACCATAATAACACTTCATTTTTTTTTCTGTTGCCTAAGACACAACACAGTGAATTTTTAACATCTACAGCGCTGAGGTGGGAAATGGCTTTCTTCACATTTTCATTTCTTATTTACCATTTCTTCCAGTGTCTGTGGATTAAATGTTGCCCTTCAACTCCGTCCTCTTCAGCATCTTTCTGCACCTTCGGGAAAGCACATCTTCGAATCCCCTCTTTTAAAGTTAATGATCCACTCTCAAAAATAATGAAAATATGTTATAAATTCCATTTTATTTTTAAATGAAATATTCGGTTCTAAAAGAGTAACAATTTCAGACAAAATTATCAAATTTACAAGAGTTTTTTTTTTTCAGAAAAAGATAAAATTCTGAAAGAAGACAAAAGTTTATTTACATTTTGTTATATTTCTGTACAAGTGCAAGAAAACTGTTGGGACTTCCAAATAGCAATTTATGAAGATTACAGTAGAAATAGTTAAGACACCAAGAACAAAAGTACTGAGGACAAATGGAGTTGAACTCAAAAAACGTGCACATATACCCCTCGACTACACTAACTTAGAAAATTCTAGAGAACCTAAGAATACACAAACACACGTTCCATTGCCCACCAGAACAATGACATTGTCACATTCTATAGAGCTTTTGGAAAACTCTATTGTACTCTCATGTAAAAAGGAAATATCGTCTTAGTATTATAATGAAAATGGTTTCAACCCACAGACTCCCTGTCAAGGTCCCAGACACCCCAGAGATCTGCAAGAGCACATTGTAAAAATCTACCATCCTTGATGGTTTTATTTGGAAGCTTCAGGGATGCTGGGTTGAACTGGTCCTGAAGGTGAAATCCAAAAACAGAAAGAAAATTGAGGCATAGGAAACTTGGTCTTTTCTGTAGCCTTTTGAGCTTCTAACCAGGCTCAGGAGACTTGATTTCTCTGGACAGGAAGTTTCATAAACACCCACGTCTTCTTGGGCCTCCTCTGGCAGCTGCAGGCTTCCAAAAGAGAAAAGACAATCAAGGACAGCCCACACGTCATTCTTGCTTCCCTGAAGCTTTTCTCCCTGTTCCTGGGGATGCGTTCAAACTGCACTGTCAACCTCTCACATGTGCACACCATTCTGGAGATGGGTCATAAACATTTAAACTATATTGGCTCCATAATGGGGACATTTTGGCTCCAGACTGTGCTGAACTTTGCCCATTCCAGAAATAACCCGTAAGACATTCCCAAGGCACTGAGTGATGCAAACCACATTTATCCACTTACCATGGACAAAAATGTGACTGCAAAGCAGAACCTCGACTTCTTCCCAGATTAAAGCAAGGATGTGAATAGTGTCCCTAACACAAAACCTGCTTTTACCCTTGCCTTGAAAACAATTTTCCAAGGCTCACGACAGAATCTTTCAACTGTAAAGGTGATTTTTTGTTTCACATCAGGTACCATCTCCATCCTCTGCCCTAAAACAGAGTTGAGGGGATGAGGTCCAGCAGACTCTCATGTTCAGGAGATTTGCAAACCATAATTAATCGTAACTATAACAGGTGTCGTAGTTAAAGCAGTAACAATGTGTCTGCCCCATATATTACAGGCACAGCCGTCAAACATGAGAATTTATTCCATAGGTACTTTCAAAAACTTCAGTATTATCTGGTCCTATACCAAGATAGCAGAAGGCTGCCATTTGACTCAGTGCCCTCCCTGGAACACGATTCCTTTCCTATCTCGTTAAGGAGCTGTCTATCTGGATTAGTGATCTCTGGCCGCCATAACAAAGTACCATAAACTAAGCAGCTTGAACAACAAACGTTTATTTTTCTCATGGTTCTGGAGGAGGAAGTCCAAGATCAAAGCATGGGCAGAGCTGGTTTCTCCTGAGGGCTCTTTTCTTAACTTTCGGAAGGCCGTCTTCCCCCTGCATCTTTTATTTAACTATTATTATTCTCATTTGTTATATATGACAGCAGAATTCATTACAATTCATATTACACAATTCATAGTACACATATTACACAACAGAGCACAATTTTTCATATCTCTGGTTGTACACAAAGTGTCTTCACACCTTTCGGCGTGTGTCTGTGTCCTGATCTCTTCTTGAAGAGACACCAGTAACATTGCATTAGCAACAACTCCAAAGCCTCATTATATCTAATTACCTCTTTTTAGGACTCTATCTCCAAGTTTAATCTCATTCTGAGGTTCTAGGGGATAGTAAAGTGGCGGAGGGGACACAATTCAGCCTATAATATTAGCTAGCCTGTTACCACTTCAAATTTCCCTGAATTTTTTTTCAGTGTCGGCCAGGCAGCAAATTTTATCTACCTTGTACACCTGGGAATAGACAGCACTTAGCATGCAGTGATACATTAATAAACAGTTTTTGAAACATATGAAAGTTTACAAATGTTCACTTATAGATTATCAGCATATCAAAGATGAAAAAATATTAAAACTTAAAAAATCCTATTGAGGTAACTCAGTTCTACAGTTTTATAATAACAAATGCTCCTTTATTTCCAAAGTGCCCCCAAAGAAGCAACAGACCTGAAGATTATTACATGATGTCATTCTAGGGCCTCAAATTATGTTCTGAATGGTAACTGAAAATAAGAGATCCAAATACACTTTTCAAATATAATTTTCAGAATGAGGCTTAGGATTGATTTACCATGTCACTACACGAGAAAAGTTTTATTTTTAAACTGTGCTATACATGGGCTAAATCCTCCCATATTGATAAGTCAGTCTGCCTGCGCATGTGAAGGAGCCTTCTCACAAACCACAGCATGTGCAGATTAAAGGAAAATGCTTTTTCATCAAAAGTGTCCCACATATGCTCTCACACCATTGAAGTTCATATGTAAATGAACTCATTTAAAGTGCAAGTATTGAAAACAGGAAATTAAGCAAATCTGGGTGGCTGGGTTGGCTTTTTGTTTCTTGTATTTTTTTTTTTTATCCCTCTCTGTAAATAGGAAAACGGGTGCTCCCCAAGGCATACAGGAAAGTTGGGACATTTATATCCTCTATTCCATGAACTCAGAAACATCTGCATTTGCATCTGACATTATATGGCCTGAGTATCTAAACTGAAAATCATCCACATACTATATCTGGAAAATTATTCATCAAAAGGAAAAGTATTGCAAAATGTAGCCGGCCACTGGAAGGTCATGGAAAAAAATATTAAAAAAAAAAAAAGAGAGAGAGAGAGAGAGAGAGAATTAAAGAATTCTAAACTTCATAGAATTAACCGGAAACTTCAGAAGTTCAAGATTGGTTGCTGCTGGTTTTAGTCTTAAAGACCAGGGAACTCTGAAATACCTTTACTAGGGACAACAGAAACAGAAATAGAGACATTGTGTGGACCTCAGTGGGCCACCCCAGACACTCAGCAGTCCAAAAACAATCTCTCGTGCCACATTTAGGGAAAAGCACAATTTTAGGAAATCCAAACAACCTGTGAACTCTCTGACCTACAGATAACCTATTCGGCAACAATGAAACTCGAAAAAAGATTTCAGTTAAGAAAAAAAAAAGGAAAAGGAAAAAGAAACTTGTAGAAGAAAAAAAAAAATCCCCATTTCAGGAATCATGTTGATAAAATCTCAGATATTTCGGATCCTTGCCTTCATGGGTCTGCTCTGGTTTGGAAATCTTGCTGATTTTCCTGCAATACTGAATTAACTGTGGAGCAGACCTCCTACTGTGGCCTCCAAATGCAGAGCCTATCATCCCCACAGCTATGGGGGATCAAACCCAGGGCCTTGCACCTACTAGGCAAGTGTTCTCCCACTTAGAATGTGCAACCACAAGAGGTGAAGATCCAGGCAAGAGGGGACGAAGTTTGAATATGTTGTGGAATTGTTCTGGAAACTTCCCTCTGCTTTATGCAAAAACCATGGCCAATGGACTATACATTTGATTTCCATCCAAAAAAAAAAAAAGTACTTGAAAAAAAATTGTTTTTGCATTTGAATTGTGCAGACCTGGAAAAGCAGGAAAACTTTGACTTTTTTGTTTGGTTGTTTCTGACTTTTTTTTTTTTTTTTTTTTTTAAGTACTGAGGATTCAACCCAGGGTTGCTTTACCACTGAGCTACATCCATAGTCCTTTTTATTTTTTGTTTTGGGACTGGGTCTTGCTAAGTTGCTTAGAGTTTCCCTAGATTGCTGAGGCTGGCCTTGAACTTGCAGTCCTCCTGCTTCAGCCTCCCATATTTCTGGGATTATGAACAAATGTCAGCATGCGACTTGACATTTCTTTTTGTCCCTGGGATGAGAGGAACTTTTTGACAATAAGAAATTTAGCAAGCTTTTCCCATATCAAAGGCAAAGGGAGGAGCTGGGATCAGGGCTCAGGGGTACGTGTGAGGCACTGGGTTCAATTCACATCCCTGCATACAAATACATAAAGGCCCATTAACAACTTTAAAAAAAAAAGTGAGAAGAGTTGGAATAACCACCTTGAATAAATAGAGCTCACTCCTAATCAAAATAGGGAAACATAAAAATAAAAATGGGGAAACCTAAGACTTTTTTAAAAAGAAGCCAGTTCATATGAAAGATATTGGAATCAAAAACGAGGGTGTGGTGAGAACAGAGAAGACCCTGGATGAACAATAGCAGGTAGTATCAGAGGAAACCCAATGCCACAAAACAAAAAATGGCGTGTGTCCCCGAGGCTGTCCCTGGTGTGTGGGAAGTCCAGCCTCACTCATCTCCTCATCCCACCAGGTGTCCAACTCTGAAGGAACCAGATAATGAAGACATAACCCAGTCCAGGACCAACCCAAGAACAGCCCCATCCACAGGGTCCAGCCCTGAGTGAGGACACTGGAAGTTCAAACGACAATCTCCTTCCCTTTCTACTTCCTGAGCTGGCCCATTGCCCATGTGCACCTCCCAAAAATGTTGTCAGATTTTTGTTCTTAAGGATGGACCTTTGAGCTTGGTGTGGTGGTATACACCTGTAACCCCAGCTACTCGGAGGCTGAGGCAGGAGGATAGCAAATCCAAGGATGGCCTGGACAACTTAGTGAGACCCTGACTCAAGATAACTTTTTACATGGAGGGGGATTGGCTCAATCTCCAGGAACACACAAAAAAAGAAAAGGATGAACCCTTAGGCACACATTCTCCCTTTCTATTTTAAAAGGAAGATAAAAGTCTATTTTATAAACTTCAGATTGCCAAACACAGACCTTCTGGATAACGATTTAAAGGAGAAATACTATCAAGTTGGACAGGAAGAGAAAGGAGGACGTATGCTCCCCCACAATAAACCAGTGTTTATGTTCGCAACAGTTTATATGTGATCGAGGACATTTTGTGACCAGCAGTGTACCCCGTGAAGCAGAACCATAAAGTGATTCTCTTAATCCCCTTTAAGTTATAAAAATTAAGCCAGATGGCTCTTCAATGGCTCAGAGATACCAAAAAGACTCACTTTCATAAACTCCAATCTATGTTTCCGATGGACTTCATCAGAGTGCCAGACACTCTCAGCGGCAGGAGAGACAAAATAACTGGCAGAAAATCTTCACACTTGAGCTCTCTCTTTGCCTTCATTACTATGGATTCTAAAAGGAAGCTTTCTCCACTCATAGGGAAAATTATTTGTTTTCTTTCCTAGTCATGATTTTTTGTTATTATTATTATTACTATTATTATTATTATTATTTTATGGTACTGGAGATGGAACCCAGGGCCTCCTGGCATGTGCTTACACCCTCAGCCACATCTGTCCTAGTCCCTCTGAAACCTTTCTGACCTCACAAAAAAAAAAAAAAAGTGCAACGTAAAGACTATGAACTAACACTTCATCGCCAGTTTCTGAGCCTTCCCTTCACTTATGTTTCAACTTACATTTTTTTTTTCCATTCATTCAAATAAAATTTCCATGGCTGGGGATCAAGCTCAGTGTTACAGCACTTGCCTAAAATGTGAGAGGCCTTGGGTAAAATCTGGAACAACAGGAACATTAATTA